CGAGTTTACGCGTGTCTGGCGCGATTTGTTTATAACGTAGCCTCGATTATTTTACTTACCCCTATAGTTTACTGACCCCGGTCTCCCCTATCTCATAAATATAAAATTTGACACAAGTTAAATAGGTAAGTTCTAATAGCTCTTGATTTGTATTTATTTGAAATAAAATTTTAGTCGAGACAATGTACAGTAAGCGCGAGGAGCCCTATGACATGTTACGTTCCTGCGTATTCCGGCTGGGCGTAATCTGATTGAGCAACTTTATTAATTCTGTAAATAACGGTCTGAGCCAAAATTGAGAAAGAAACTTTTAATTTAAAATGTCATCCTCTTTCACTGCTAGAAAGCTATTAGTCAAAAGTTATAGGATACCCTGTATACATCCTAGCCAATTAGCACATATAATATAGCTCTTTCGACTTTCCTCAAGGCTTACTTACAAGCGAGTCAACGCTTACTTTCACCGGGTACCTCGGGCTATGATTAAGCTTTAATTCGAATCAAGTGTCAGTCACCTTGGCGCGGCAAACGAAAAGAAGTGCGATATTCGATAGCCACGGGAACGTTTATCATGCACGAACAAAACGCCTTTCCATTATAGCTGCGGTGTTTTACGATTTTATCATAACTACTTCCGGGACGAGCCTTGGAGAAAAGAAGCTTCCTCTCTCCAGGATACGATAGTATTTTATTCAAGTTGAGAACTGATCGTCTATTAAGATACAAAAGAATTTAATAATAAGAAAATAAGGGAGAAAATGAGCACAACTGCTATTATAATATATACAAATATTTAAATAGTTTTTCTCACATGCTATATATATATATATATATATATATATATAAATAAAAGGTAAAGTAGAATAAAAAACTCTAATGCAATAATTTTATTGTATGCAATGCATAGAATGTTTTTGTTTGAATTTTTATACGATGCTTTTTATAGCAATGCTTTTTATATTATGACTATTCAATACGTTACAAAAAGACTGTTATAATGCTGAAGATATATATCAATTTATCATTATCAAGATGATAAGAAAAAATGTAGAAAAATGATATTTTTTCCGGCAAAAAATTCTTTTGCTTCTTTCTTGATTTTCCTTTTTTTTATGTATTAATATAAATATTAAATAACATTGTCTTATCGTCGCGAAATTTTTTAATTTCTTTCTTATAACGTGCAGGGAGGACAAGGCGGTTTCGAGGATGTGCGAAGATACGTTAAACAAGGAGGCGACTTTTGCAAGGAATTGGCATCGATTCTTCATGAAAGGTATTTTTTAGACGTTTCCTTCCTATCGTTCGTCACTCATGCGAATTTTTCAATGAGAAATTGAAAATACATTTTCAGAGCCGAACTGGAAGCTACGTATGCGAAAGGACTGAGCAAACTCAGTAGCAAGCTGACAAAAGCCTGCGCCAAAGATCAAGGTGATTATCGGTCCTTTTCGGTATAAATTAATTTTATGCGTCCATTGCATTAATATAGGACATTTGATCGATAATTACACGTAACAATTGCAACTGTATTTAATAATACATGAGAGTTTAATGCAGAATTTCTCTTTCGCGAAAATTATTTAATAAGTATCTTTTGACTTTTTCCTTCATCAGAAATATTGAAAATTAACGATTTATATATATGTATATTTATAAACTCGATGCGCAAACATAATAATCGCAAGTTTAGATTAAAAAAAAAGATGAAATTTAGCTTTAGAAGGAAGAAACTTTGTTCTCTTTTTTTCATTGTCTGCAATCTTATCTGTTTATCAAACCTAGTATGAAACTTCGGTTTTTATCGTTTCGAGTAGTATATGTGTAGTAATAATATCGACGAGCGCGCGGTGTGTTGGCGCGTTTCGAAATACAGACGGTGTCCGTAGCAATATCGTCTCTTCTAATTGTAAGTATGGATCTCCTCTTTCATAATACAGGTGGTAATAGCAACGGAGGTGTGAACGAGGCGTGGAGGTGTGTCGGCGAGGAGATGGAGGCTGCAGCGGAAGCACATCGGCTATGGGGCATCGCGTTAAGCGAACAACTTGCCAAACCGCTCAGAGTAAGTTTGAGGAAGATGATTACGACGATTAAAAGACCGCGTGAAAAATACTGGATGCGCAACCATGTACTTATGCAACGTCACGATCGGACGCGATTGTTGTAAAACGACAAAATTAAAATCGTCCAAGGAAAATTTACCTTGACAATTTCCCAGACAACACAAAGTGTCCAAAATTGAAACAAGACGTCTTTGGCGTCTAAAAAACATTTTAAAGACGTTTTATGCCTTAATTTTAGACTTTGTGTTGTCTGGGTTGACTCTTTTATATCTTACAAATTATATTCTTACGAATTATATTTTGCTGGCGAAAAGTGCGTCGAATCGGATCACAAATATTAAAATTACAAAAATTTGAGACGTGACATTACATCACGTATGTACAGTACGCGCCAAAAAAAATGCTCTTTTTTTAATTACTATTATGTTTGCTGAATGTGACACAGTAACACAGTGATTGCAATTAAAGGAAATCATATCGAATAAATATTTGGTAGAAGGACAAAATATTTGTGTTACTATCAAATTTGCCCCCGTCCACTCACTTTATTTAACTAAACCGACAACTGAAGTGTTAGTTGAGTCGTATTTTTTTTAGCGCATACTGTATATGCGCAGACAAATACATAAAGTTGACTTTCTCTTTGCGGAAACTCGCATTACTTGCAACCAAAAAGATTCAACCTCATAATAACATTGAACGTTGACGGATCGAGAAACGAAAGGATGACAAGTATGTGTAACACGCGCAGGTGGGTGTAGCAGAGACGCAAGGCCGATCGAGGAAGAGCATCGAAAACTCGGTGGACAAGGCATCCAAGTCGCTGCAAGAATGGCGTGGGATAGCGGCAAAGAGTAAAAAGCAGAGCTTTGCGTGCGCGCGCGAGAACGAGAGGTTGCAGGATCTCGCGCGGTTGCAGACCATCAGTCAAAGTCAGCAGAGCAATAGGTCGTCGACGTCGAGTCATCACGTTACGGAGAAGGAAGCGAGCAAACTGGAAACTAGACGAAGGAAAGCCGAGGACTCCTCGCGTCGAGCAGACACCGAATTCTACACGGTCAGCGTGAGAGCCGAGAGAGCCAGGCTCGAGTACGAGAGCACGATGAAAAAAGGAGCGAAGCAGATGGAATTGCTCGAGGAGGAGCGACTGAGCGCCCTAAAAGACCTCGCCAACGTGTACTTGACGCACTTGCAGGCGCTCGCGCCGCGATTGCAGCAGGTAGTATACGAACATTACGACTCTTGGTAGAAAAATTTCACGTTTTAGAACACTTTTCAGCAAAATTTCAACATTTTAGAAAATTTTTAGTTTAATTTCAGCGATTCTTAGCTGAAAAATTCATTTTCAGCAAAAGTATGAATTTCGCTCGTATTAAGCAATAGCAAAATGTAAAGAAATCAGGTCAATGATCGAGCCAATTAAGATGTATAAGTTAATTATAATTAAAATTTTATTTATTATGTAAAATCAAATTATAATTTTCAGCAAAATTTCAGAGAAATTTCAATGATTTTTCAATATGTTAGCTGAAAAATTCACTTTCAATGAAATTTTTAGCAAATTTTTAGCAATTTCGCTGAAATGTTCCAAAACGTACACAGAGAATTTTTTCTTAGAATTTACCTTGAAAATATGACAGTCGTGGGACAACATTGTATTTCAAAGAATTTTAATGTAAAGCTCTCTCATTCGTTAATAAAACCACAATGAAGTATAAAATAAGTTTGATCAATTTTACTGAAGTGCATGGTAAAAATCTTTAAAATATTGTATTGTACCACAACTACCATATTTTCAGGGTAAATTTTAAAAGAAAATTCTCCGTGTAGAATAACTTTAGCGAAATTTTTTCACCAGGGAAACGATCGAAATAATCGCGCGATCACACACCATGCAACTATATTTTTCATTTATCATAAAGATAATTAAAATTTCTCAAATATACTTTCTTAGAGCGCCGATCGCTTACTAACGCCTGTGCGCAGCTGCAACGTGTCGCAGGATCTAGAGATCCTAAAAAATCTCGTGCGCCGAATGGATAATCACGATGTGACGAACGCGGAACAGTTATTGCCGGATTTCTACGCCGAACACGTGACGCTAGCGATGAACCGCGAACGGCGAAAGCAGGCATTGGTGAGGGTGCTGCATCTGATAAGGCAAGATCTCGAGCGGGAAAGACGAGGTAGAGAAGGCCTGGAAACATTACACCGAGCCTTTGTCAAGACTCCGGCGTTTGCGGCGGACGAAAGCACGCAAAACGTAACGGATAAACTGAATCACGTACGTATGTCGAGCATGGTGCATTTATCGCTAATCTGACGTAGTCAGAACCATTATTTTGTGCTAAGTATGAGCGCGCAATATAAAAAATTAATCGTATGTTTCCGCAGATGCGTTCGATGTTGTTGTACTTGGAAGCGGCTAGGTACAAAGTCAGCGGTACGCTCGCTGAAGTGGAGGGTAGCAAACGAATCAAACATCCCTTATCAGACCATATCTTAGTTTCGAGAGACAAGCAAGGTTTGCAGCAAAGTGTTCTCAAGGTACAGTATTTTCTCAAGGCTGGAAAAACTTTTTAAACTGAGAGGGATTGAATTAATCGCGGATGAAATAGCGCATAAAATTCCTTGGGAGTAGCAGTAGAACCGTCTAATAGGACACCGCAGAATTTAGTTTAGAAGTGAAGTGGGAATAATCTCGTTCTTACGTTCAGAACTGCGAGCTACTTAAGGTTCCAATGTAATCCTAAAAACTTTAATATAAACTTTATATATAAAATACTTGAAAATTATATATCCGATATATAAAACAAATAAGAGCTTGTATTCTCTAATCTTCTTACAGATTCCTTCTTGGGCAAAGAATGAATCTTTCGAGGTTCAGGACAGTGATGACGAGCTCGAGTTGCATTTGACCAAGGATCAGGACGGCGAAACCCGTGATTGGGCTGATCGCACCGCCGGTGACGGCAATTCAGAGAATCCACCGGACGAAGATGATTTTAGCGACTTCGACGAGTTTAGCAGTCACTCGGAAGACAACAACAATCAAATTGATGGTACGGAAGTATCATCGGCTAAGAGTGAACGCGCGGAGCAATGCCGAGCGATCTATCAATACTCCGCGAATCTAAATGATGAGCTCAGTCTTAGTCCGGGAGATCTGATAACTGTTCATCAAAAACAGCCAGATGGCTGGTGGATAGGCGAGTGCAGAGGCCGTACCGGTATATTCCCTGCCACTTATGTCCAAGTCATTCATTAGCATAAACGCGAATGATTTCACATTATATTGAGATGCATAGGGAGATATATACTAACATTTGAAAGAAAATGTGACGTGATGAGACGTCGACCACGTGTGATGATAATAGTATCCTCTTACAGGAGTTTCCATTTGGCTTCGTTAAATCAGATAAGAGTATTATAATGTGCCAATAACGTTACATGCAACGATTACTTTATATGCACAAATCGAGGATATTTCGATCACAAGTTCGCATAAAAATGACTTGAGAATACCAAATAGTAGTTACCACCACATCCAATACATCTAATGTCGAGGTCTGGCGGAAATATTTTAATCATGTTACTATTTTTTTCGCGCTATATATACATTTATCGTTCTCTGTTGCTATTATACATATAATTAATACTTGTTTATACGTACCGTTAAAACGTGCTGTAAAAAAGATCGTTTGAGTTACGACTCTGAATAGTTTTATTAATTCTGACAATGCATTTTAACTCATCGTGCGTATTATATCTATAATTCTTATTAAAATAAGCAATATAAGTTTAATCGCATGATCTATCTTACTGAAAAGTTACTTTCCTAGCATGAAATTATATTGATACGAATCTTTATAACTGGTGTATTTCTTTAATTTAAAGTTATAAAAATTATGATTGCTTATCATATTTATTCTTTACAATTTTTTCTTTTGTCACTATATTTCAGCTTGGGAATATTATTTTTCAAGTATGCTGTATATGTAATATGTACATATATCTCATTTTTAAAGCCAAGATCGTCACACGCGTGCGGGTGTATGATAATTTTTTCTTTGTAATTTATTAAAAATTTGTGAGTCATGTGAAAGTATACAGCAAACTCTCGAGACAAATCGTTTACGAAAGGATAGAATCGCGCATATGCAAATATAAAAAATTATGTATGTATTATATATACATATATAATTATATATTTGTATCAAATAATCAATTATAAATATCCAGATATATAAAAAATCATTGAAGTAAATATGTATACTCTACCACAGCACTGATATAATTAATTTATTTACAAATAAGTTGTCCATTGCAGTGCGCAATTTGTTAATCCTCCATGTGGTCAAAGTAATCCTGTTGCAATTGCTTTTTTATCTCTTCTATGACATCGGTGTTATTGGCTGTAACAAAATGATTGTGTAACAATATCGTGAAATAATAATGTCGTTATTCGATGCAATTACTACAACACACCACAAAACGGACTGGTACTGGCTGTAGCCACGAAAAAACTTCCACGCTGATTGTACATTTCTGCTCTAATGCCCATTTCCGAGCAAATATTTCCATCGCATGGTTTCGCAATTATTTGTAAAAAATGCCTATAAGTCAAATTCCATTGGTGTGCCCAGAAACTGCAATTGCGCGCCGTAGCAGACGTTAAAGATTCTGTGAGATAGACGTAAGAACGTCCGTGACTACATATCGCTCGTTGTATCGCTACAAGTGTAACAACAAATTCTATTTTTACTTATTGTTAGTTCCAGTTAACTAGTTAATAGTCATTTTATACTAGCACTAGCTAGTTAATAGTCATTTTATACTAACCAGCTGTAGGAATCGGTAAATAATCGAAGTATGACGTTCGTACACAACCAGGTTGCGTTTTACCGCCGTTCGGGTAGAAATCAACATGACCTATATACATTAGGATGATATTAGAATTAAAAAATTAAATAAACGAGCTTCTTGGGAATTATAATTCCAAAGTTATATATTGTCGAGGAGAAAAAAGTGCGCGCGACAAGCTATATGGATCAAGTTTCCATCAATGAGCTACCTATAGCTTCGGGTAAGCCAAGTCCTAGACTCGTGAGTAATCTGCCGTTTGTATGTATCACGTCGACAAATGGTGCGTCATTTTTATGTAAATGAACAGATGTATCAGCCTTGCGAAAGCATGGCTGCGCCGGGTCCAGACCGGTGATTCTCTGCACAGTCCATCTATTCTGCCTTTTTTTCAACTCTCTTGCGGCAAATCCGCAAATATGAGCGCCGAGACTATGTCCTACCAGATGTAAAGGACCCCAATTATTTACATCCGGCTGGTCATGCGCGATTGTAGCGTTCGTTACGTGTTCTATAAATCTTGGTGAACGAGTCGACATTAGAAAACATTAGCAGACTAATCTATATAGGCAATACAATCGTTCGAAAGCGTCGCGGCGTTCAAAGCCTCTTTCGAATTTATTGCATTGCCTGACAAGTTATCAATTACCATGTATCAGATATACTTTTTGCGTACGCACTTTGATACTTGATATCCGACTATTCTGGTATTAACCGCTGCTTTGTAATAATTCCACGTATTACCGCCAGCGCTCCAATCTATTATCACCACGTTAACATCATCCTGTATACGATCATATACGATTCCATAAAAAATGAGTGACTATTTAGAAAATGAGACTGCAATCGACTCACCCATTCGAGTAATGCCTTTTCCATATCCCTAATCCATGTTTCTTGACCATGAGACAGAAAACCATGTACTATGACTACCGTTCTGCGTTCTATCTTAAAGTCTGTCCATTCTAAACCGAATTGTTCGTCAAGCACCACTTGCACGCGGCGAGGTTGTTTTCTAGAGGACAGAAGAAATTGCACGTCCAAGGCGTCACTTCCATTAGGTTTACTCCTAAAGAACCACTCCAGAGTCGCCGCGACTGTCTTTCCCAGTCCGAAGCAGTCCACTTGTTGGGATCGTTGTGCATCCTGCGACTGTGCGAGTGGCCGCGACTGTTGTGAATCGCTGAGCAACTCGCTCGAGTTGCCTGCACGAGTGGACAATGTATATGTGAAATTTGCCAGAATAGTCTCATTAAATAGAGGCAGAGTTGTGACGAACGTCGTTTCATTCAGTGCATTCAGTCCAAGAGACTGAGTTACGTTTGTCAAATCCGGATGCCATAAGCGAAAAAATTCTCCGATGGAAAAATGGCACAAAACGGTGAACGTAAGAATGATTGTCAATACCATCGTCATTATCGACTAGCACATTGGCTTTTGATACATTGTCCTTTAACATAATACTATATGTATATATGAAATACTTTATCATCACATTTTGCTAGATAAGCCATGACGACTCATACTTAATCAAAAAATTTCCAGATAAACAACTGTTCTTACTCTTAAACAGTTAGAACAACATTGATTAAATAAAGAGGAATTGGCTTCTGATAATACGTTAACAAAAGTAGTTAGAAATCAATATAATGTTGTAATATTTTTCATTTATTTAGAAAGAATCCACATTTTTTTTATTTTAACTGATAAAAAAGTGGAACAATTTAAATTTTTTAATTTGATTCATATTAATTAAAACTGTAGTTATTAACATTAATAACTACAGTTTTAATTAATACAGGGTGTTCAGCGATATCTGGCTAATCAATTCAAGGATAATTTTAGGACATTTTAGTTAAAATCCTAATTTTCCAGGTCAATTAATTTTCATTAGTTGATTGATTTGCACATATATTTTATATATTTATATATATATATGTTGGATTAGGGGACAGTATTTTTACAAGTTGGTAAAAAGACCTTTCCCTATCAATATCTTCATTAAAAATGATCAAAATTTAAATTAAAAAAAAAAGGGTTTTAAAGCGTGAAATCTCTACTTTCGAATGGTTACTATATTTTCTGAATTTATGTGTTTATAATTTTTACATATAGAAAACGAGCTGAAAAAAATGAAAAATTTTCTTTTTATTTTGTAGGTCTGTAGCGTGCCAAAAAAAATTTTAGCAAATTTTCGAGTATCTATCGTGAAAGCTTGAAGCTTTCCCTATGAAATCGTTTTTTAAAAATGTTTCTACGATTTTTTGTTCCTGAATTATTTGCGGATTAAGTAAAAAGGAACATTCTGACTTTATTGCTCGTAACCTTGTTAAAAATTATCGTATCGCAATTATAAATACAGATTCTTAAAGCTGAAACTTGCTCTATCACGTGGTGTAATTGTCAATTTTAAAAAAATAGAATATATGGGTTGCTAAAAAAGTCTTTTTACTAGTAAAGGGACTTTTTCCCTAATCCAATATTTTGTATTCAAGTTAAAATTTTATATAATGAATTAATTAAAACACAAACAAATTTAAATTTGGAACAATATTATTTAATACTTTATACGTAATAAAAGAACATTCAACACACAAAAGACGATTTATCTGCTATATTCGATTTTAGACATTAAATCAAAGTTTTCTGTTGTCTTATTGTATCTTTAAAGAAGGGCTTATATCTAAATACAATTTTTTTTTTATTAACATATGACAAACATCATTTAAAAAAATTATTAATTTATTGGCGCTTTATTAAGTTATTAATTTAATTTTTAATATCCGCGCTTTTAAAGTCTCATCTAAAATGATCATAAAATTCATCGTTATCAACATAGTTCTTGCGTACGCATGGGAAATACTTCTTATTTCTTTCTTACTTCATAAGCCGATTTTTTTTTAATGAAAGAATGACAAAATTCCAGTCCTGAAATTGCAGGGATTTTTCAAGAGTTTTTCAGAATACATTAAATTTCAGGATAATTCCAGGATTCAAGGACATTCAAGAATTGGTAGACACCCGTAACTAAAACTAATAACACAAAATATTTCCAATACGAGTATACGATTGTAATTATTATATGAATTTTATCTATTGTCATAGAAATGCGTAAAAATTATATTTATACATATACGCATGCACATATACAGTATCGGTCAAAAATTTGGACGCATCTGTATAAAACGGCTATAATGGCTTTTCTCACTAATAATTTGAACAATTCTAGCAATTTAGCGATTGAAGTAGCTCTACTTATGCAATATGATGACCTGTGTTCTTTCTTCACAACTGATTTGGATCTATTCTGAATATCAGAATCATGAATGCATGAAATTATATTGAAAATTATATTTTAATGTCGGATTTTTGTAACATATTTCTTGCAGCCTTTTGCCTTGTTTATGTTACCTCTGATATCTGTTCTGACGAAAGATATAATCGAAGATCGATATACTTACTGTTTTGCAACTTTCGCGTTATTCTCTGACTCAGCGCCTTTGTACTGATCGGCCAGTATCTTGCGATAAGTTTTTAGTTGATGTCTTACGAGTAATGTAGGTTGTAGTTTCTATATTTACGTAACTCGGTATACTATCAAGAAAATCATGTAGTATGTCCAAACTTTTGACTGGTACATACTGTATGCAATATGTGTATAATGTATATATATTATTAAAGTCTATAATATTATTAAAGAAAAAACAAAAAAATGAATGAGTAATTTAATAAACAGTTACATTTTACAGTTAGATTAGTAAATTATGTTAAAGTACATCTTTTAGGAAATATAAGAAAATTTTTTGAAGATTATTAATATGAAATAAAAAAATCAACGTTAAATATTAACCTAAATCCAGAAACAATATTTTTATATACAGTGTATACTTGTACGTACAGTCCTTATTGTTGTCAGGATTTATCTTTTTTCTAAAGATAATTTGATGGAAAACAAAGAAAAAAATTGTGTTGT